AGTCCGAAGTTATAGATAACGAGTCATCTTCTTGACTTGACAAAGTCCATTTGCCTCTTTCTCTACGAGTCATCTTCTTGACTTCACAAAAACATAAGTGATATGGTGGTTAAGGTGTTGAAGGAGTAAAATGGGAGGGGTTCGAATCCCTCTATGCGCAACAGGGGAGGCTCTTCAAAAAAATTCATGTATTTTTTGGGTTTCGTATCGGGATATTATCGATAATATCTCGATATATTGCCCAAATCATTCATAAAAATGTTGAAGTTATCTCCCCGATATTATCAGGATAATATCGATATATTGACGATAACACCATGGTTAGTTGCTAAAATATCGGGCCCCCAAAAATCAGATATTATTGGGATAATATCGCCGATAATATCGATATTTAATACCTTGATTGTACCCTTATTCTACCAAAATTTAACTAACTTAAACGTCGGAAGTTAGTTCTTGGGCTGGTACCACATCAAGGCCTCGTTTGTTAGGGGGGACCAAACTAGACTAGCAAAATACCTACATTTCACGTGCATTCAACCTCTTATCAATCCATCTATAGATGTAGGTCCAACCTCACCGGCCAAAGGACTCCTGGGGCCGAAGACAGCAAACCTAAATTGAATCCATTTTTCGACATCAACAACCATTGCTTATAGCATTCGAGCAAATCTGGTATTGGTGGTCCAGTACATTTGATAATAAACAGTTCCCTAATTTTAAAGTCAGGTGGGTCTCTATCGTTTCTTTTCTTCACAGGGGAATAGCAGCAAGGAACTCGTACACACCTTCCAGACATGCTACACGAGCTTAGAATGAACCTTTGGTTTTGCAATAACAACTTTTGGACTTCAAACGCGGAAGATTGCAAGCCCAAGACTGCAACACGTTGAGTACTTTTTGTATTACAAACGTGTCACGTGTGTGTAGTTTGAGTTAGGGTTTAGAACCGTGTGGGGTCGTAGAAAGACTGAATTTGGAAAGGCATCTGAATGAAAAATAATTAACCCTCAGTTTTGAAATAAAATGAAATAAAATAAGGAAAATAGTTCTCTTTTAAGTAGGAACTCCTATGCTCCTGCCAATAACAGTATGACATATATGTACAAGTTTTTCTTTTTTGTGTTTTAGATGAATAATTTTTTAGCATATGTCTAGCCGTGATTTGCTAGAACCTCCTTGGAAGGAGGCAAACAGTATTCATAAAAGGAAAGGACCAAACAAGGTAATCAGGGTAATTCAAGCAAGCATGCCTTTATCTGGTGGAATATATCAATATCCAGTAATATCTTTATTGGAAAATGTCACTATCCACATCTTGTCTTCTTAAATTAAGTCATCGATATCAATATCCAGTCATCTCTTTATCCTGAAAAATAGCCCAAACGCATTGCCCACAGGAAAATTCTTACCCAAAAGGTACCCCTACACAGATCACAAGTTTCACTAGGCAAATACAAAACAATGCAATACAAATTTCTTTACAAACTATATATTTACAAAGAGCAAGACCAAATCAATTATATGACACAAGAAATGGGATGACCATAGACATGAATGTATCATAATTAATTGTTGCTGAACCGGTATACCGCAGATCTTTCTCTTTGAACTTATCAGTCAAACCCTGAAATCAAAATATAACAACATTTACATGTTAGCAAATCCCAGCAAAAAAATTTAGAATGAAAGATAGCTATTCCTTTGTCAAAGAGCAAATTTGCACATCTGCCCAAAAAATTGTATGAAGCTAGCTAGTTCTCACCTTCACAATCATCCCGCATCTGCATATCAAAGAAAACACAGTGTCAGAAGATGCATAACTACCACTTGATTCTTAGGAAGAACAGAAAAAATCATGTGAAACTATCCAGGGGTAATGTCAGATATCCGGCATGTTATTTTGCCATACTGTGATCCAGGACAGTACGTTTATACATGATTTTACTTGATCATTAATGGTTTTTTGTTTTCAAAGTCTAGCAAAAGAAATTGTCCCCACTATATTAGATAAGAAGACTTACTCCACAAAACTATCGAAATTGAGTTCAACCCTTCTCCCACTTCCATCATCATACTTGGAAATCAAAAGTTGAAGAACAGAAGGGGGGATGGCAAGGCCTAGACTGTAGAGTGCATCCCTCAGTTCCATCAAATCAATTTTCCCACTCCTATCTTTGTCATATCTCTCAAATATGCCCTGCAAGTGCAGGTTTAGTTAATAATTCAAAGTGACAATTCATGGCAAAGAGAACATGGAACGGATATATAACATCTGAAAGCATTTTCTATGAACAAACAAGTAGGGAGTCATGCAGCATTCTGAATCCCTGGCTGCTTAAAATGGCAGTGCAGATTGGCAGTGTATGACAAAATTCTATTTAAGTTCCACAACAACCATACGTAGAACATATATGGTGGTGAATTGAATCAGTATGACTATACAAATGTGTTCAGATAAGTTTCTTTCCAAGATTACAAGAGAGCTACACAACTACATGGCCCTTAGAATTTACGTAGTTCCGGAGTAAGTAATATATAAATTAAGACTTGAATCAAATGAGTGGGGATCCTTGCAAGATTAGCCACTGCATTCTATTATTGCCAAAAATCAATGCAAAAGTTAAGCTAAATTGGCACTAGAAATGAGCCCTTTCCTTCAATTGGACTTCCAGAAATGACAAAAAGAAGTAGAAGAAAATTATCCAATAGAAATTGAAGGATTTACTCTGTAGAAAGGCCACGATAAACAACCATTAACTATCGTAAGTAGATTCATATGATAAAAGAAAGAAACTGATGATACTTACTCGCCATTGACCAAGACAAGTCCAGAGTGCAGCAAACTCTTTGGGGCCTATATCAGAAAATTCAGAGGAAATTAATAAAGTGGGACTAGTTAAATTGATGCTTTGATTCGAAACGGAAACAACTAACAAGCAGCAACCCAAAATTCATTTTTATCAGGTCAAAGAATTTATAATGCTGACTGTTGGTGTACACATAACAATAATAAACACAAGAACATTCCCAGCCAGAATTCCGGTTGGCATTTAGAAAATAAATAGGGAAACCAAAATTAATTGTAGCTAAGAATTGAAATTTGAAAAATATATGCAAGTTTGGTTAGAATTCATAGTTTACATCTATAAGAAATCAAATGATACCCGTCTAACAAATAAGCATTATAATTTCCAAATTGGGTTCAAATTTCTAATCATATCCAATGAATCCTGAAGAACAAAGAAGCCATTTTGATAAAAACAAAAACAAAAACTCACCAACTCGGAGAGGATCATTGGGGCTTTTGAAGAGAAAGATGAGCAAGCGAATGGTCCTGAGGCTAAATTTCTGGTACCCAGAAGAAAGAGCTTGCTGCAGCTCATTCTCATCAATAAAACCACTCCTGTCCCTATCGACCATCTGAAAGCTGCTAATCACAGCTGGGTCTGTTCCCGGAGGAAAACCAGAGTGCCCGTATGAAGAAGGCCCCTGCTGCTGCCCGTAGCTATAGGAGCCGCCATTGCCCTGAGAGTGCTGCTGCCCGTAACTATAGGAGCCGCCATTGCCCTGAGAGTGCTGCTGCCCGTGACCATAGGAGCCGCCACTACCCTGAGAGTACTGCTGCCCGTAGGACTCAGGCAGGGATGGGGCAGAGGGCGCATAAGAGGGAGACCCATATTTCCCATTGGAAGCCATTGATGAAGAAGGAATGTGTTGGTGGGTTGCAGAAATTAAAGAGATTTTACTCAAAAAGAAGAAGAAAAGGAACACGAGATTTGGGGTGTTTTTGTGAGAAAAGCTATCAGAAAATGATGTCTTCTTTTTGTACGTTTTGATTTTGATTTTGCTTTTCCTTTTGCCTTTGCTTTTAAGGATTCAGGCGGTAGGTTTCGTGCGAATGCGGAGAGAAACTTACCTGTAACGGTTGTACTGCGCCCTATTCAGGTAGGTATTAAAACCGACGACGCAAGCGTGTCACGTGTGTGGGGTATCGGATGGATGGTGCTGGGGGGCTTCCTGAGTTTGATGTCAAATTGAACTGGGACGGCCCCAACCAGGAGAATTCTGGCTTACAACGGGTATTTGCAATTTGCAGACATCGTCTTTTTTTAAACATTTTTCTGGTTTTTGAGCATAACTACTTTTTTAACAGCTTTCGCGTTGTAAAAAGTATATAAAAATGGTAATCACCGTCCGATTTGTAGCGTGTCTATTTTGCTTTTTCTTTACTCAACAATACAACAAATTGTTTATGGAATAAAAACAAGAGTGGGTCTCGCATAAAATCAACAATCACACTCCTGATTTTTCAGGAATAAGACTTCATGGTGAGGGGGTGGTCTTGTGATTGATGGTAATTATGGGTCATCAGTAATAACTCCGATTTGTGTCCACTTCGATTCCAAATTAGTAAACATATGCAATGTTATTTTTGGGTCGAATCGGTCGAACCAAACCGAATCCTTCTCCTTACACAAAATTGGATTAAATCAATTGTTTAGTTGTACTAGCCCAATATCTTTAGTTTAGTTGATTACTTGGGCCTTTGAGCCCTCATGTGACCTCAAAACGAAAAAAAAGAAAACAGAAAATAAAATTCCACGTAGGATCAAGCCTCAAGCGGCGGCAAGACCGTGTTAGAGGAATGGCGGGAAACGAACGAGGACGAAATTACAATCATATCCTCATCCTCCTTTTGGTACCTCTTCTGAAAGACTCGAGACATAAAGCGTGTGACAGATAGGGAGAAAGAAGAAAAAAGAAAATGGCGAAAGTGGTAGCCGACGCGGAGGAGCTGCCGAAGGCTATCGTGCGCCGAGTGGTGAAGGATAAGCTTTCTCAGTGCTCCAAGGGCGACGGTGACCTAACTCTTCACAAAGAAGCCCTCTTAGCTTTCTCCGAGAGCGCCCGAATTTTCATCCACTACCTTTCCGCCACGTATGCACCTCTCCTCCCTCTCCCTCTCTCTCTCTCTCTCTCTCTCTCTCTCTCTCTCTCTCGTCGTAGTTTTCTAATTAAATGAAAAATATTTTGATTGGGTGCAGAGCAAATGACATATGCAAGGAAAAGAAGAGGCAGACAATCAGCGCCGACGATGTTTTGAAGGCGCTGGAAGAGATTGAGTTCTCCGAGTTTATCAAGCCTCTTGAGGCCTCTCTTAAAGGTGACTAATTTCTGAAAATTTGTGTCCGCAAGGTGTTTGATGAAATGCCCCACTTAGTTGTTTTCTTTGACCTTTTAAGTTTTGCCCAAATCTTGACCACATTTGCTTGGATTTGAGATGCGTATATGGTGATGTTTGCTTTTAGTTAATGGTTAAGAAAATTCAATTAATTTGGTTCATTTGGATGTGTGAGAAAATCTTGTTTTTGTCGTTTGCCTTGCAGAAAAGAATCCAGGAAAGAATGCTGGAAAGAATGCAGAAAAGAGTGGAGGAAAGAATGCAGGAAAACAGAAAGCAGGAACATCAAAAGCTAAGGAAGTGAAGAAGAAGAGGAAATTGGAAGAGCCATCATCGCAAAAGCAAAAGGAAAAGGAGGAAGACAACCAAGATGAAAATGGCAGTGATGATGAATGAGCAAGCAAGCATTTTTGTGTTTTTTTCTTTCTGTCTTTGTAGTGTGTTTCTAAATCAAAATTTGAAAATGGTCATGTTACTTATTAAATTGGGTTTATAACAATTAGCAATTCGGGTTCAAATTTGGCCATCCTTCATATTTTGTCCTTGAGAATCTTCATGTTGCCTCTTCAAAGGATTATGTGCACAAACAGGAAGTGCCATTGCGTTAAGAAGATAGAGGGAGCTAAACATTTTTCTTACGGTGTATTTACGAGTGTGTTTTTTGGGTCATAGTTTACGAGTGTTTTTTTTTGGACGAATAGTTTACGAGTGTTTAGGCAGTGCCAAAAGTGCTTTCAAATAGTCTATTACAACGATTGACAACTGATTAACAAAAACGTTTCTGAACCAATCCGCTGCTTATGAAAGCCACTGGCCAAGAAAAGGCAACCACCTTGTCATATGGTGCACGGCCACTAGTTCTTGTTGAGTATGTCACTTTGTAATGATTTGGAAAAACACATCACAAATTTTTCCTCTATTAGTTTCTATTAGTTTGATGTACTTTAGGGTCAACAATGAATAAATATAACAAATCAACGATGAACACATAAGGTATTTGTATAAAAAAGAAGTATCCATAACGCACTTTCGTATAGGATGCTGCTGTTACAACTTTATATAACAATCTTGAACGTGACAAGTACACAATGGAATGCAGACCCTCCAAATTCTAACCATTGCAAAAACAATCAATACGGGTTATACCTGCGTCCGTGCCCAGTATCATTGCTGTGCCTACCCTTGTTTGGACCACCACTACTTCTGCTACTGCTTCCGCTCCCACCACCACCCCTGCTACTACTTCTTTGATGTGAAGGTGAGGGGTGTGGCTGTGCACCTGGTTGTTGCCTGCAATGAGGAAAAATAAATTATTCAAGTTACTAACCTTCATTGAAGGGTGTCACGTAAAGCTAGGGAAATGTTATTTCAAGGGTATGTTTTATTGCAATTATATAGAACAAATTGAGTAAACAACAGTCCTGAGATAGAGCAATCCAAGCACCATATTCAATAGTCCAAGTGACTGATTGGAGCATGGAACAGAGTAGACAAAACTGACAGATATAACAGAACTTCATAAAACCACAAAGGGCTCCTCCATTATGGCCAAAATAAATAGAACTTTCAAAACGGTCAAATCAAATCATAACCAACAGTCATTCCAAAATTCAAATCATAACCAATCACATCCTGTAATAAAAATCCTAGTGAAAAATTACGCCCCTAACATCACAGATACACAAGGGGATGAAAATTGTTAAGATGCTAAAAAGAAGCCAATGTCTCAAGCAATTTGGAGCTTTCATTTTTTATTTTTTGCTCTTATTTTTATGATCCAAACAGAGAAGTGTAGGCATCTTTGCGAGGATAAACAACCCAAGACCTAATTATGTTCAAGGGAAAAAAAACGTGGTACAGATTTATACCTCCACAGGGAAAAAAAATTGACCAAACAATTAGAAGAGAAAAACTAGTTTTATATGGATCAAGGTCCAGTCAAACCCAGATTCACATTTCTGGTTACTGTATTGGTTCCCTGAATAGAAACCACTGAAAAGTGGATACTAGAGCTGGGAAAAATGAACAAGAGAGGTGGGATTTTAAAACGTCTCCAAGTCTATAGTTTTCAAACTTTATGCAATTATATGCAGAAAAATTCGATTGTGCGCTAAGTTACACTGTTTGTACAGAAACATACAGTCTCCAGCTTTATTTTATATGACATGGCACATTTATTTATTCAGTTACTTATTGTAGAAGGCAGACATAGAATTATCTCCCAATAAGAGATATTTAGTTATATACCCATTCTTAGCACTATATAGATAAAACCTACACCATTTAATTTCTATAAACAAACCCAAAAAATGACAGCTAACCTTATTTAATTTAATTTTGATTATTAAATTACTTTGATACCCTATTGAGTGTTTTGAGTTTTTTTAATGAGGTTTTGGGGTTGAGCTTGTTTTAAGAAATCAATGGCAGTTTTGTAATTTATAGGAAGTTCGAAGCCTTTTTGTTATGTTGTACATGGGCTTTGGGTGTGTTTCTAAAGTCCATTTCATATGGGGTTTTCTTATAATTTGGGCCCCTATATTGGGTATAATAGTGAATCTCCCATTAAATAATGTTATGCCATATAATTAAAGCTACATGAGGCAAAAGATGAGTTGTGCTTACAGAACATATCCAATCCGTCCATCAGGTAGAAGCATTGGCATCATTCCCATGCCTGCAGGAGCCGGTCCAGGTCCAGAAATCAAAGGCTACAATCAAATTTTCAGCAGAATTTTAGAAATCATGTAACTAAAATATAGCAGATAAATTTTGGGCACAGTGGCATAGGTGAACAAATATTTGCATGCGTATGCTTTGAATAAAGCATGCCAAAATCATGGGAAATACTTTTAAAGATCTACAACATGAGCATGGAGGAAAGACGTTATACCAAAATTTGAACATCAACAATCAAAGGCCATATTCGCAATTCCTTTTTTCTTGCTTTTCAGATGCCTGTTTTTAGTGTAGGGAGATTGATGGAGAGAGAGATTTCCTAAAGTTTACTTTTGGAAAATAACAAACCCTAACTTTGTAAAATATACAGTCAAGAAAGGCCTAAATCCTAAGTCGCAGACCACTTTCTCACTTCCTGTTCTCTCTCAGCACTGTTCCGTTTCTCTTTGTTGAGTCATTGACAACAACAGCACAAGTGACCTACAACTTAGAGCTTGTCAATTTATATAACTTATGTTCATTCCATTCACGAAGCTTTTGAAAACAAAATGGACCATGTGTTTTCTAAGTGCTGTGCTCAGAATGTATCCGCACCTAGTCTAAAACGATTTCATTTTTTTCATCGGACATGTATACATGCGTGGTGTAGGAGGGTCAACATGTGTGACCTGGACACGGGATTCCTCTCAGCCGTGTCTATGCTTCTGAGATGTTGAACCACAACTATGGGGTAACTGTTTCTATATTTATTTATGGCCCTGGCCTCAGAACAAATAATACTTATGAAGGTATTCACACTGCTAACAAAGCACAAAACAAAGACCAAAGAAAATTAGAGGTAAACAATTGAATATCATGTTCAGGCAACCAGGCACAACGATAGTTATCAAGGCATGGTAAAAAGTCATTTGCACCATTATTTTTAAAACCCATTTAAAGCTACGCAATGATAGTCCATGAGCAATTTATGTGAAGGCTAAATAAAAAAATTCCGTGAATGTGAAGTTTAATTAAAATATTCACTTCACATTGTAAACTAACTAAGAACATCAGTATATGTTGGCACATATCTCACCTGTGCAAAACCTGCAGCACCGTACCCTGCACCAAGAGCACCATAGGCACCCCCAGCCATACCATAAACAAAACGAGGTGGATAACTAGGAAGCAACCCTGACCTATGTGAGTTTGATCCACCAGACTTTTGATCTGCCTGTGGCCTTGCAAGAGAACACTCCAACAGCTGGCCTGAAATTAATGAGACCGTCAAAACAAACTACTTTACCACCTTTAGAATGGGGGGAAAGGGAATGCAGATAAGACGTTACCATCAAGTTCATAATTTTCAGTGTTCTTCAATGCTTTCATGGCACCGGACCTCTCTGCAAAATGTACAAAACCAATTCTACTCTGTTCCTGTCCAGATTTTGCAGCTGGCAGAACCACTTTCGTGATTTTCCCATGGTGTTCAAATAGCTCCTTTAACTGGTCTTGTGTCACATTTTGGGGTAAATTCTTTACATAAACTGCCTTCACCTGTATGATACGGGGTACATTAAGATTTGCAAAATTTAAAATTTAAAGACCACTCCCAGGACTAGCACAAATTGGTGGATGATACCTATGTAATAAAATACAGTAATTAATAGCCGGAAAATGAATGCCATGTGAACAAAGCAGAAAGGATTGTGGTTATTTAAATGGATAAGGAATCATCAAATGTGATTTTTGTTCAAAGATCCAGCCAAAGGTCACATCCATCAAATGATTACTAGATCATCTGGAGTCTGCGCTATCAAAATATAAGTGGCATGAAATACTAATTGGTAGAGTCTAAATTCCCATGCACCACTACCTTTATTTTCACCCTCTATCCATGCATCCGTAAAGCAACTATCATTTCAAAACTCCTACAGAGTATTACAATTTACCTAAAAGCATTCATATATTGGAATTATCATTCCTGCCTGCACCATTATAAATGCATGTGCAACCCTATGCCAACAAGTAAAAGTCCAAAAACAAAACTATTTCTAGTTTACTTGGGCATTCACCAAGTTAAACATTGACATTGCTGTTAATATTCCAGCTACATACTTTAATCCTCAGTCATAAAATGTGAAGCAAACAGGAAGAAAAGAAAGAACAGAGTTACTTAGCAACCTGAGAAGCAGCAGATGACTCGGCATTTTTAGGATCTGCCCAGCTCACTGTTGGAGCATTGTTATCTAGCTTAAATTTTGGGTCCACCATTTTCTGCCTTGAATAGTCAGCACATGCGTGGTTATAGTAGTCAACAAAAGCAAAGCCTCGGTTATTACTTGTGTTCTTCATATCCTGTGACAAAAAGTTGCATAAACAATGAGGATAAGAAACTAATAAACCACAAAACAAGCATAACAATTGAAAATGATTTACCCGAAACTTTTTGAAAGATAAAAATTCACCAGGCTGAGAATGGAGGGATAAATAATGGACACATGAGCACACTATATATGGCACAAACCTTGACCAGTTCTACACCAGTAACTCCAGGACCAATCTTCTTCACAACTTTCCTCAGATCTTCTTCTCCCCAGCTCCTTGGAACATTACCAATAAACAAACGGTGCTTTGCTTTAGATGTCGAACACTTTATTCTTTTACCCTGATAGAGGGAGAGAGAGAAGAGTAAATACAATTGAAGAGCTGCATATTTAGAATGAAAGCAAACAGCCCAAAGTGTACAAAACGATAATTTTTGTTTTTCAAAAAAAAAAAAAAACCCTTAAATCTTTTAGTTTTATATCCTTACTCATATTTCAAGGATTATTATATGTGTGGTCTGGAGTAATATGATTATGCCCAAAGGTTAGGTTACCTTAAATTCAGTATTATTCAATTCCTCAATGGCATCAGAAGCCATTTCCACGTTTTTGAATGTCACAAATGCAAAGCCCTTATTCTCACCCGAATCTTTGCCCTTCATAATCCGAACCTGTTGTTACAAAACAATACAGTTTTATTTTATTAAAAATAAAATATAAACATAAACAGGGTATTTTATAAAGAGCAATTGAACTAACCTCTGTAACTTTTCCTACAGCCTCACAAAAAACCTTTAAATCCTCTTGAGAAGCATCATGAGGAATGCCACCAATATAAACTTCTGAACCATGTGGAGGAAGGGCAAGAAGTTCAGCATGCTTTTTCTTCTCATCCTCATCATCAGACATCACCTCATCACTGCAATGGGATTTCTTCTCATCTTCATCCTCCACCTCTTCTTCCACCTCCTCCACTTCTTCTTCTTCCTCCTCTTCTTCCACCTCTTCTTCTATTTCTTCCTCTACTTCTTCATACTCAACCTCTTCATCCATTGCCTCCTCAGGGTCATTGTCACCATCAAGATCAACCTTCTCATCGGACTCTATTGGCTTTTCGGGTTCAACAGGTTTATCAAGTGATGAAGCATTTGCTTTTGCCCTTGGCATCTTATGTATCTAATTAAATAAGCTTGCAAGGCAACTGTGAAGAAGGCACAGAAGCCAGAAGAATTCATGGGAAGAAGTAAACACATATTGAAAGGAAGGAAAACAAAGAATGGGCAAAAGGAGCTGCAGTGTATGATTCTCAATTGAAATGGATTCATGAGAACAAACTCAAAGGTTTTCAATTTGAAAGACTTTTATTAAGGGGTAATGATAACATTAACAGCAGTATTAGAGACAGGAAAAAGAATTTTCTGAAAGATTATCATGTGGATTATGAAGGTGCTCCAAATATTCAAGATATGAATTTCTTGAAGTCACAACGAGACTGCTGTCCAAAAGAGGGAAAAAAAATTGGCTAGTTTAACCTTATCCGAGGGCGCATTTAACCCCATTCCAATAATAAGAATAGCAAAGCAGCATATAAGGATCCAGGGGCAGTAAAATATAATAGATAATTGGAGAAAATATGGAAACATTTATAATGCTTCGTGCGTATGCAAGGCCACACAACAAAGTGACAAAAAAATAGGACCAAAGATTCTATGTAGATAAAAGGAATGAGACCGCTGCAGCAAAAGGAGAATCAAGCCACAACAAAGTCCAATTTGACAAAGATAATACCATTTCCAAAATAAATGTACCAATCTGGGTACCTTCCTGCAATAAATTGACATATAACGACTGAGATAGGGATGGACATTACAGCTATGATTTACATAACCAACAGGCACAATCATAATTCAAATGCGCTAATACATCCTCTCCACCCATTCTCAATAGCTCCAGAAAGATAGTACTTGAACCAGTGGCATTTCAACAAATTACACATCTAAGGTCTGATAAAAAAAACTTAGCATTTTTGTTCAGAAAGTGCACACAAACAATCCATTTGATAAAGACAAAGGAATTAAAGTATATTTATCTCTAGTTGAATCAGTTTTATAGACATATATATATGTAGGTCCTATATCAATAGTAGAATCATAGGTATAGGAAACTACATGAAACAGCATAATGGAGTGAAAGACTAACTCAAGGGTACATAAAATCTGAGATGGATGTGCACACTTTCGAGGCATAACAGATCTTTCTTTTCTTTTTCTCTTTTCCAGATTCTTTCCACTTTATCCCCTGTTCGGATAGGACAAAAAGGCCCAAAAGCTACCAAACCTAAACTGCAAATCCTCCACCCAGTGCAGTGAACCCATCTAGCATTTGAATGTCTCAGCATAGCTGAGCTATTTCACCAGGATTTAGTTTTCAAGGCAACATGAACTTAGATCACTTGGGTTAGAACTCCTAACAGTTGCAAAATGATCTTCCTTTTTTTCAACTCAGCTTAATCACTAAGAAATCCCACTAAGAAAATGTATATAAATAAAAAATACCCAAGAAGTGGAAATTTTTTTGAAACCCGACTTGCAATGTCCAAAATCCAACTGACATATAAGGAGACAGAGCATTTACAACTGGCCTTGAATTTCAACAAATAGTCACATTATCCAGCGGAGGAACTACATGTTCATAATATAAACACAAAAACATAAAACAGAAATGCAGTCTCTATTTGAACAAACCAGCAAGCATAAATACGATGGAGAACAATAAAGAGTCGAGAGAGAGAAAGTACCAAATGAAATGCGCAATCTGTGGAGCTTGCCTTTTCTTTCTTGTGGGTTGTCTATAAATAGAGTGAGGAGCAAATGGAGAGCGAAATTGGCAAGCTTGAATCCGAACTTCGGTTGCGTGGAAATAATTGAAGGCTCTGGCTCTGTAGTTTTTATATGGAAAGGTGGAAGGGCACGAACCCTAGGCAGAATTGTGTCCAAATTAGGATTTTGTCGACCAATAGGATTTTGCTAACAATTAGGTGTTGTTTTTACAGCTAATCTTTCTCATCAACATGTTTAAGCATCTGGAATCTATCAATAAATCGAAAAAGAATCCAAATGGGGAGGAATTTGGTGTGTTTCATTGTATTTTATTTTTTTGCTAAAGTTAGGGAAGGAAGGGAGTTCTTTCTCCGAAAAAAACTTAGGGCACGTGGAAAAGTTATCTTACGTGTCATTGTGTTATTGGCCAAGATAGGAAAAGGTGCTATTCACGTTCAAACTTGAGACCAACTATTTGCAAATCAAGCCCTTTTTCACCCATTGATGGTGTGGTTTCTCTTATTCGTGAAACCAATTTTGGTGTGTAATATGGGCGAAGTTAGTGTTCACTTAGTTTCAATCAAGGTCTTAAATATCGGAGGTATCGGAAATATCAGAAGTTAAAAAACACGGGAATATCGCAGGAAATATCGGGATATTATTGTTCGGTTCATTTTTACACATGATTTTTCATGTTATTCACCCACTATTTTGAGTTAGTTCTTGACATTTTATAGCTTTTTACTTCCTTTTTGTGTTTTCTTAGATTTTGCCTTGGTTGGGATGAAAATGAGCTAAAAGTGCATTATTAGTTATAAATTCTGTTTTTGTTCATTTTCGTAGGTCAACTTCTTGGCCTGGGATCAACATGCTCTGGTGCTCGGATGAGGTCATGATCTTCATGAGACTTGTTCCAATGGATGTTAACTACAACATATCCAAATTTGAGCTCCATTGGACAAGTATTGCCTATCCAACCAATCCATCATGTTACCACAGTTCTGGAAATCCGGATTTGGCCAGCTTTTACCTCCCTTGTGTCATCTTAACTTCTTGTTACCATAACTCTTGGTAACAAGGAATTACATTTGTAAAATAGATATTTTCTGAGCTTTTGGCATCTTTGTGAAGTCAAAGCTCCATCATGGCAAGGGGACAATGGGCTAAGGCTTTATCAAAGGTGGTAGTTTAATATTAAAAGGTAAAAGCTGGAAAGGAGGAGAGAGGGAAGGAAAGGAATTGCAATCTGAAGTTGGG